GGTACCGTACAATTTATTTTACGAATAAAATTTAATTTTAATTTAATATTCGGATAAAAGGTGCGAATACCATTAATAAGTAAGACGCATCCTTTCCGATAAATCCGACGACCGAACGAAAATCGAAAAAGATTCCCTCCGTTTGTCTCTCGGAAAGAGACAAGAATACTTTGATGAAAAAGAAGAAGAAGAATCGACAACCGAGCGAGACGACATTATAAGCGGCCAAAAGAAAGGAATAATATCCTCTTTCATAGCGATATCGGCATTCTTCGTTAATAAATTATGTCACAACGTTGAAGAAAGTTGGACCGACTCGAATCTATCTTAAGAACTTTAAATCTCTTTCTTCGCGAGAGACGTTCGATTAATATCGAAGCTCGACTGGCTCGCTTAATTTAAATCGAATTAACATTCTTACGGTGTCAACCACCGATCGGAACGCGATTTATCATCGACGCGAAATTGGTCGACGACGGGGCGAGTACAAATTTATCAGACTCGATATCAGCCGATCTAAAATACCGATCTAATTTCTCCACGACGAGACAATTTTCAAAGTCTCGCCCCCTTCTCTCTTTTACGATCGGTAATCGATTGGGACGAGATTACCGTTTGATCCTTATCTCGAAGATGAAAGAAACGAGTCGGACAGAATTTCGTGGATTCCGCTTCCTCCCGTTTCCTCGGCTATCTTAACAACCGTGCCTGTTTACCCGCTGCAGCGTACGCTGCTCGTTTGCATCAACTTACATCGCCTTCGCGATTATTTAACGCGATTCTACAAACGTAAACAGGCTACCGTGTATCTGCACCATTCGGAATCGAATGCGGAACGAACGTTTGTGAAATTCGAGCAAGAGCGCGCCAACCGATTCTTGTTATCGAATTTCCCGAATTACCGATTATTTGTAATTTGAATTTTTCGTCGAATCGAATTACGAAAAAAAAAAAGAGAAAGAGAGAGAGAGAGAGAAAAAAGAAAAAGAAAAAGAGAGAAAGATGAAATAATTAGCGAATCCGATTTTTACACGTATCAGAACGTGTACTACTTCTTACCCGAGAATTCCTGATCAAAAGCAAAGTATATGTACATATATGTTAGAATTTCTAGCTCGCTTATCTCCCTCGCTGTGAAACATTGTACGTTCCCACTGTCGATATCATCCACTGGAAAAATCACTATGCTAACCTTGCTACGAACGATTCACGATCGATTAATCGGTTGAGAAGCGTTTCGCGAATATCCCGAAGGTCAAATCGCGCAAACTTTCGAGGAAACAAGGACGCTTCGACTCGGTTTATTATCGATTCGTCGATTCGTTTTCCCTCCCAAAGTGGAATTCGAACGAAACGAAGGTGAAGCAAGCGCGGACGATACTCGGTTTCGTGAAAATATTTGGGAGGAGTTCGTTTCGAGAAGGGAATCGAGATCTTACGAGTACGAGGAAATGAAATCGCAGCAGAAACTTGGAAAAGAACAAAGTTTATAGCGCCGATATATCTTTTCAAACGCTGGAAACTACTTTCCTCCGAGATATCCGCAATTTCGTATCGGAGGGGAAAAAAAAAAAGAAAAAGAAAAAGAAAAAAGGATATTCGATGGATAATTATCGAAAGATCATTACCTCGTGGACGATAAAAGGGTAAGATTATCCTATAGATTCGCAGAGGGAGACGAGCTAATGGCTTTATCTCACGATCTCGACGTCTCTATCCGGTGCAAGATACGCTCGTTAAATACGATAAATCTAATTATCTTCGCGGTGACAAGTCGCGATCAATTACGTTTGCGATCGATCTCCTCGATCGGAAAAATTTTCATCGCGAACGAATAGAGAATTGTAAAAATTCGAAACGTTTGTCTCGTCCTTCTTCGCGTTGTGCTCCACGTTCCTTTCAATCCGTCCCTATCTACTTGCACAGTAGACGCTTTTAACATCGACGTACGTGTCTACTCTTTATATCCCGATAAACATCGTTTTTACAAGTAGCGAATCTAATCGCGACTCGCTGCGTAAATCTTATTCGAAGATAAATTTGTTTCGCGTAGCATTTATCAAAACGGATAAAAAATGGCGATAAAAATCGGTTGCGACATAAATCGACGGATTCTAAGTATATTTATCTGTTCGAACGTATATCTAGCTATCTGTCTAGGTAAAAGATTTTGCTATAATAAATTTACGCGCATCGTTACGACACAGATCGAATCTTAAAAATTATTCAAAGATCGCGTGAATAAAATATTTGCACGAGAGATGGAAAAGAAACAGATGGCGCGATAATAGCGAATGCTTCTCGAATCGTTCTCGATTCCTTTGCCCGAGAAACTCTATTATATTTCCTGCCAGCAAGCATTTCCTGGCCGGTGGAAACCATTTTTAGATCGTGGAGGGCTCTCCATTTCGCCTGCCACTTGGACCGCGCTAAGAGAGAACTAACAACCGGAATACACCGGCTAACCCCGCCGCAAAAATGCTGAATAAATCCCGAGGGAGGAATCCGTACGTTTTCGGTAAAAGATGTTCGAAGCGAGCAACCGTGAAATTAATTCGAATCGATCTCCACTTATCTCCGCAAACTTGCATCTTATCGTCCTTCTCTCCTTCGAGATCGATCGCGATCGAAAATCGCTTCCAACTTTTCCCATCGTTCGAGTACGATACGGCGATCGGATCGGACGCAAAATTGGGAGATTCGTATACAAGCGAACGGACGAGAGACCTTGCGAGGCGCACAAGTGCACTTGGCGGAGGGTCACGTTCGAAACGTTAGCGCAAAGTAAGATACATGGGACAAGGGAGGGAGACAAATGGAGTCAATAGTTGTCAACCTCGAAGGGGGACGAGATCGGCCTCCTTCTTCTCTTCTAACCGCGAGACCTTAAAACTCGAGACCTTAAACTTGCTTCGAGAAAAAGAAGAAAAAGGAAAAAATAATCGTTCGAGGAGAGAGTAAAAAAATGTTAATCCGCGTAAAGAAATGAGATAGCTGTTAATGGCGATCGCGGAGAAAGGGAGGAAGAAAGGAAAGTTGGAAGCGAAGGAAGGGCTCGATCCCTTAACGGACAATTACTATGGATGGATACGAAAAGTTGTGGTGGAAAATTTGAGAATACGGTTGAGTTACCTTATTTCAGAGCGGCAGTAATTGGCAAGATTCTTCCCTTTTTGTTTGCTCGTCGTCCGCTTCGTTCTCCTCTTCCTCCTCTTTGTTCGCCACTCGAACAACTTTGAAGGCAAACCAACAACGCGGTTCGAGGAACTAATACCTTTTTCGTGGGAATGCTTGGGCCGGAATCTCAGACGACGCGTACAATTTGATTTCCCGTCGAATCGAAGGCCATGCTTTCCCCGCTCCTTTCGCGATCTGCAACAAAAATCGATTAGATTAGATTACATACCCGCTCGATACATCGATACAGCGATACATCGCCATTGCGTTCGATCGATATTCCTTGCGACCTAACATTTTTTTATTTCATCATTATCGGTCGAAATTGAGACGAAACGAAGTCCAAAGCAATAACATGGAATAACGAAATTAAAAATACTCTTCAGCAGTATATGTACAATAATAATCGCGTCGAGTCTCGTTGTTCAGATATCGTATTCGCTTGGAAAGCACGTTTTCTAAAATGCTTCTCGCTGCGGACAAAGTTAAAAACTTTGCCATAAGTCGTATATCAATTTTATAACGCTACGATCAACGAATTTGAAAATATTTAAATTTCTCGGCTTTCACAGCTTTCGATTTAAGCATCTTCTTAAACGAACCGAGAATTCCTTTTAGGGAAACATTAATTTACCGCGCAAACAGACGGAGAAGCGCTCGGGAAATTCGAGAAGAGAAATGTTCGTCGAAGAAAATATAAGAAAGTATCGGCGGAAGAAAGCTCGCGCAATTTTGCTGCTTTCGAAAATTTTGGGTCGTATCGATACACTTAAAGAAAAAAAAAAAAAAGGCGAAACAATCGAAGCGTTTTCCACACCTCTTGACGTTAACGAAGCGAAGATCGAAATCTAATAAGACGATAAGAACGATTTTCGACACGACGATGAATGCGAGGCAGCAAGTTTGCGAGCGTAGTCACGCTCCGATGTATCCGAGTATGCAAAGGAACAAGTTAATTAAGGACCACCCAGAAACCGCTATCTTCCTCGCTCTTCGAAGCGCGCGATGGAAACGTGCCAAGAGACGCGTAAATGCCGATTCGCTTTCCTCCCTTCTCCATCCTCTTCCCGAACAAAAGTGCATCCGAACGCGACGAATAAAAAACCCAACGTTTCAAACGTTTTCAATTCAAATTTCGCTTTATCTCCTTCCCTTTCGTATTTCGTTTTGAAACGCGTTTCGCCTCGCTTTTGAAAACTCCGCCGTTTGCGCGGAAAGCACACACCGGGCTCGAAAAGACGAGAACCAACGGAGTCCGAGTCTAAGCGGACAAAGATCAACGGAAGGATTTTTTGAAAAAGGACCGACAACCTCGAGCGTCGAGCAAGGATTTTGGAAATTTATCGCTTTCCGACCGGAAAAGGATTAGCCAACGTTTATATGACGGGTGAGAAAAAACGGATGGTCGAGAAATTTATCTCGATCTCGGAAACGAAGTAGAGGCGTTAAATCACGCAAGATGGGAGGCAGCCGAAATTTTTCTGCTACGCTTGTATTAAAGACTATGAATATATATATATCACGTCGATTTTAAAGCGGGAAATTTTCTTTCTTTCCCCTCTTTGACGATCGTAATGAGCTCGTAAAGCCAATTACCACTTTCGTACCTACCGTCGTTTCAAGAATTATTCCAACGAAATTGCCTGTCCTCCTTCGCTCGTCCAGCTAATCAAAAATCCCTTCTACTTTCGCAAACTTTCAATACTCGTTTTCTTTTTTCTTCCTTGTTTCACCCTTCGATCGTAGAGAATCGAATCGTCGTCCTTTCGTATCCTCTTAATCTGAAAATATTTCTTCGACAGGGTACGAAACCAGCGAGAATCACGATCTAACGAAAATTCGCAAGAAGGAACGAACGGTGGCAACAAAGAGTGCGAAATCTCGAAATCTCAACCACCACGTAATTTACGTAACCGGAACGTTTGGAAGGATATTTGCTCCGGAAACAAATTTCGCTTAACGAACGAAATCTCGCATTCTTCTTACTATACAAAGTAACCTTTCGTAAAAATCCTCCCGAGTACCATTCCAACATTTACGTATTCACGATAGTAAAATTTCACTTTGCCAACCGTTGATTCGAAAACGAGATCGAAAGGAGACGAAATGGATCGAAAGGAGACGAAATGGATCGAAAGGAGACGAAATGGATCGAAATCGAGCGGAGCGACTAATACGTCGATCGTTCAATACGCACTTATTCGAGGTATTCGCGAAACTTGTTCCTCCACCGATAATGAAAAATATTTACGCATCGGTGAAATGTGGGTTAACGCTTTGCATATCGCCCTCGCGCCGAGGATACCGGTCCGCCTCTAGATAAGAGCTTCCTTTCCCTCCCCCCCTCATGATCCTAATTACTCGTTCTTATCTAGACCCGCAACTTTGTTCGCTTCGACGAAATTTCGGCCGAGTTTCCGCCTCGGCAAAAACGTAATGTGGACAGAAACTAGAAACTGGACAGAAGGAAGAGAGGAGCATACCTCGAATCGAGCGACATTTCAAGTCTTCTCGCAAGGAGTCGATTTCTTACTCGGAACAGTTATTCTAATAGTTTCGATTCTGGAATTAGCGGGAATGGACGATCGAGGAACGTTCCTTTCCTTCGTTTCCGGTTGGATGGGGAAAAGAAGAGGAAGAGGAAGAGGAAGAGGAAGAAGGGGGAAAAAATTAGAAACGGCGCGAAACTGTTAAAACGTCCGTCCTTGAACGTCGGGGGTTTCTCCTTCCAGCAAGGTGAACGGATACGCGTCGAAAGCGAGCGTAATTGTCATTGAGACAAAACGTTGTTGTAACTCCCTATAAAGTCCGAGCGAATGCACAATGATTCATTTATGAGGATCGCATGAATAAGCGATTGTATGTGAAATCAGTCGGTCATTTAACGAAAGTGGCGGCAAGGAATGTGAAAAGAAACGGCGGGAAAACGAAATGGGATTTTTATCGATGGAATTCAAGGACGGGGAACGATGCGACCGTTGACCGTGAATAAATCGCAGCGGGATAACTCTGGCAAAGTTTCAGCTTCGTTCTTCGCTCGTCGGGTATTTGAGAAACTTTCGAAAAGTTCGATCGTTTTTCCCCATCCCGAAGGGGATGGAAATCGACTCGAGATCTTTCATCCGGCCATTTTAATATATCGTAAATAGACGACGAGTCTTTTTGTCAAGGAATCGAGAAGGAAATACGTAAGGGAAAATTTCCCTTCACCCTCGAAAGAAATTGTTCGAGCGAATGTTGGAGAGACGAGTAGAAAGAGGAGGGAAAAAATCGACCAGCAAACGAGGAAGGATCGTCCATTCTCGAGGGAGAAGGTAACAAACGATGGCAGATATTTCGTCGCGATATATCGTTTCGTTTCGTCCATTTTTGTGGACCTTTCCCTTCGTTCTTGCTCGAAGAGAAACGTTCCAACTACGTAACGCGTTGCCACGCGAGTGGTTTACACATTCCGGGATACACGCGTTCGAGACGAAGGATCGTTTACTCAATTCGTCGCTTCCTTTACGATTCTATCGATCTTCCCCCGCGTGAAATTTTCCAACAAGAAGAAAGAAAGAAAGAAAGAAAAGGAACAGAGAAAAATATCGTATGAAAAATAAAAATAAAATTTTTTATGAGAATTCGCCATAATATATTCCGCTACGAAACGCGTAATGCGTTCGTAGAGAATAAAGATACGATTTGAAAGCGCGTAATCTAGCGAACCGGTTAAATACGAAAACATTGCGATTTGTTGCGCGTGCACGATATCAAAGTTTGGCCCAAACCTACGTCCCATTTCAATTCCTTTATTGCGCGTTCAACATACCGGCGAATGAAATATCGCCAGCTTCTCGACAATAGCGCAATCCTACGACAGCGGAATATTGATACGTATTGATACAAAAAAAGGAAAGGGGGAGGGGGTTTCTCCCGATACGCAACGATAAAGCAAATTCTTCGATAAAGCAAACGCGAAAACGTGAATCGTTATAATTACATTTCCGATTCCGCGAGTAAATTTATAAAATTGATAATTTCTATTCATCGATCTTTCCCCCCCCCATCTCGTATCCAAGTTAAATATAAACCGTTATTTCTACGTTGAAACGATATTTTTACACGAGAGGCAAGGCTTTGTATTCTCGCCGTCTCGTAGCAAAACAAAAAGGAGAAAAATTGTGGAGGAATTTCGAAGAGAAGAATCAAAAAAAGAGCGGGGAAAAAAAATGGCCGTTTCGCGTCCCCATGAAAATCGCAAATGCGGCTATCGATCGATCTCGAGGCAAGGTCGAGATGGAAACGTTATCGATGGCCATTATCGACCTTCGTATCGAATGAAACGCCATGCACGTAATCTAAATACGAATGATCGAACAATTAAGAGACAATTAAACTTGCCGGAAGTCGTACGAATGGCCGTTCAAAATGTAATTGACACACGATTCTGCCTTCTCTCTTAATTACATTCCAACGTCGCGCCCATATATATGTATATATATATGTATATATAACATGCAACTGTAGTTCTTTGATCAGCCGTTCAACCTGTCAATCAACCGTTTGGAAATAGAATATTTCTCCGAATTTCGTCACCTTCCTTCGTGGAGGAATCCTCCGATTTGAAATATCTCGAGATAAGATAAAATATCGCGACGCTTTCGCGAATCTCTCGCGCCAATCCAATTTTTCTTCTTAGATTCCTTCCTTCCTAGACGAAAAGTACTTTTCGTGGAAAAGTGAACGACAGGTGAGAGGGGGGTCGTCGTTGCAGAGAAGAGAAAGAAAAAAAAAACAAGGTTGGGAAAGAACGACAACGTTGGTTCGAGGTAACTGAGGAGATTCGATGTTGTTACGTTGTTGTTACTCGTGATTTCTCGAGGAACGATATTAAGCGTCCGAAGCGCGCCACGAATCTACGATGTAACGACGGAAAATTCCTTATCTCGTGGCGAGAAGCACGTTCCTTAAAAATCAAAGGCCGTCGGCGTCAATCGGTTAGACGAACATGGATAGTCGAGAGACAGACGGCTGCGCTGACTTCACCGTACGTAAACTCAATAACGGAGAAAACGTTTCAGAAAATTTCTCGTTCCAATTCGATCCAATTCGACCGATTGATTTCGTTTTACGATTTCGACGGATAACCGTATTCGATCACCATTTTTTAACCTTTGAGGAGGAACGAATTATTATTATCGATACTCGATAAA